AACAACACTCACTGATCAGCACGGCGATAGGAGGAAAGTAATGAACTTATCCTCAATCCCGAAACAACTGCGTTCTTGGAAAAATGACTCAATTTTTCAATTCAACATCACAGAAGCCTTCTATAAGACATCCTGGTGGAGGTTATCAATATCACTGACACGTTCCCAGAGGAGACAAAACGGGAAATGGAGATGGAACTGATTCCAAAGATATTGACACATCAAGAGCCTACACACAGGAACAGATTTGCCGTGATACGCAAAACCCTGGAAAGGAATGAACAATTAGCCCTTCAGGCGGACAAAGGAGGAGCTACAGTTTTAATGAAAAAAAAACAATACACCGAGAAGATGGAACATATCCTACGAGACAGGACCACATATCGTATATTAAACAAAGATCCAACTGTGAAGATCAATGGAAGCTTAAGTGGTATGCTAAAAGATATGCATAAGAATGGGGAAATTAATGCATGGACAATAAATTCAATCATAAGAAAGGATGCACGACCACCATGCCTCGCGTTTTCCCTGAATCTCCCTCTGATCAAGAACCCAAAATCAGTTACCCTTTACAGGCACGCTTGCTGTCTGATAAAGCCAAAGGATTAGTTTCCGAGCATGCTTATGTTGAAGCTCTAGGTTGTATGAAAGAAGCACTTGTTCTCCATCCTCTCGACAAATATCGTAATCATGTAGAGAAATTAGAGAGTCTAGTAAAGAATAATAGCCCAAACCCAGCTGTAAGTAGTTACCCTCTTTTTATCGAATTAATGAAGATGAAAATAAGTGTAGACCTGGTGAATTAATTTCAGCTGCTCGTAATCATTATAATATGAATAACCTCAAAAAGTCACTCGAGCTATTGGAAAAAGCTTATATTATTAAGCCATCTGAAAGTATTCAGAAAAAATAGATCGCATTTCTACGTTAGCAACAAAACCCCCTCAAGGCGATGGAATGTGTGAAGCCATTGAGCTCGCCTGCGGATTTAGCATCACCAAAGACTTCTTTGATGGCCTTTAC